TCCTCTTTGGACCCCAATGTAGTTTGTGTTTTAATTTGTGGACTATTGAGGGATTGAGTTTGACACCCCTTTTAATAGCAAAGTATCAGTAGTAGATAGTAAAGTATTAACTTTAAAAAAAAAGTATAACCTCCCTCCCTCTCCCCCAAGCTCACCAGTTCCTTTTTGGGGCAGTTATTGAAGAACTTGGGGTCAGAAACAGGGTCCGAGAGGTAGGACTGTAGTAGGTTGAGTCTGAGACCAGTAGGGGGCTCGTTGGTCATTTTCACCCCGTTCTGCAGGATCATCACTGGAAACTGATTTTGAAAATGAAGTGTTAAAGTCTTAAATAGTAAATATATAAAATGAACAACAGTTTTTTTGTTTGTTTTTTATTACCTTGGGTGACGGGTAACTTGTGAGCCACAGGCGGAAATCTGGGTGACACGTTGTGGGAGTGAAGTCCTCGCAAGTTTTTTCCAAGCTGGACATCCAGGAGACGGCCAGGTGACAGTTCTGCAGACACACCCACGTTCCCTCCTGCATAGCTGTGGAGATCATCTTCGCTGCGATGGGGCCTTGGCCCTGGCCCAGGGAGATGGACTGGAACTTGGTTCCGTTCATGCCCTTGTCATTGGCAAACTTCAGTAGACCTGGGGCAGAGGGAGACTCCATCAGTCTGTGACAGTTGGTCATTATTAAAGCTATTAAATCAGTCAGACTTACTGGCCATGGGATCAGCTCCCGGTGACAGCACAAACACCAGAGGAATGGTGCAGTTAGAATCCTGGTAACTCCTGCTCAGGTCAAAGGGAGGGGGCTGAACAAACTTCTTTCCCAGGTTCAAAGTCACATATTTAGTCACAGCTGGAAGAATCTTATCCGGCCGCAGGCAGCGCAGAACGATCATTTTCTGCAGGTGGTTCAGTTGGTCGCACCAGGGTGCAGGCAGAGGAGTGTTGTAGGGCTCCTTGCTGTCGTAGATGGGCCTGAAGTCGCCTGGACTCTGGATGAACGCCTCTCTGTGGAATAAACGACTGCATCAGTCTGACGTCATTGACACAGGAGACACGACTGACCGTACACACGAGCAGGGATGTAACGATAGACTCAACTGACAGTAGGAAATGGTTCAAAGAATTTTTTTTTGTTCACGATTCCATATAATTCAC